GTATTGATATCTACATCTGCCTCTACATCCGCATTGTATCTATCTACAACGTATCCATCTGGGTCATTTAGATCTACATATACATCTCTATTTCTATATGCATATTTCCATCTACTAGGTAGCCTTATAGGTACTTATATCTATATTTATACATACAAATGTATATGACTAAAACCATGAATACATTGAAAATCACATTTTAAAAGGAAGCCCATGAGATCAAATATTAAGTGTAGCCAAATACAGAGGAGACAATAGTTAAAAATACAGTTAGCAGAAGACACGCATGAAGGAGTAATCCCGAGGAACGCCTAACCCGGATCAAGGAGTATGAACAACTGTACCAAGGACAGTAAACACAGAATACGGCTTTAATCCAAGCACATAGCACATGCAGCTACATTTCCCTTCCTTTTAGTCCCCTTCTCAGATTTCACAAGTGACTTCAATGCTTTCACTTTTTTACACTTGAGAAACGAAATTTAAGTGTGTCCTTGTCTAGGCCCATTTCCTGGCTCCATCCTTGCCTCTTACATAAAGAAATGAGATAATTAAAGCGAAGGCGCCTTATAAACTTTCAAGTATAATAAAAAAGTTACTTTTGTCATTTTCTACAACATTTGCCACCATTGCTGCCACCAAGAGCACTACAACCACGACTACCATAATCACCATCATCACTAACCCATTTAGTCAACCAACCGCTCTACCTGGCTTCTCTCTGTGTCTGACAATGAAAACCACTGGACTCCTTTAAATGTTCACTGATCTGACCTCTGGAAATTCTGACTTTTGACCTCTGCATACTCTTTGGGCTTGACCTGGAATCAGAGATTCTCAGATATGCAAGGAACTTACTAATTACTCACTTCTTGAGCCCCCGGTACACTGACCTCCGCACCAGTCTGGTGACAAAGGGCTCATCACTACTCAATGCAGCTACTTTGGCATCTATGATGATCAGAAAACATCTCTTTACTTTGAGGCTCAAAAGACATTGCTTATAAACATCAAGCTCCTTTTATTTTATTTCTTACCATGAGATTTATAATATTGAGAAGGTCAAGCAGGGCCAAAGTACGTTCCACAGGAAAATTAAAAAGGAGACTCTAATGGGTTGGTTTTATTTGGGGGAAGTAAAATAAATATTAAGTTGTCTATGAGATTCAACCTAACTTAATGGTAAGAGTCAAACTACAGCCAGGAATAGAGTGTACCTGCACTTGGAAACCCCTGTCTTCTCTCCTTGGAAACTCTAAGCATTATGGCAATTGGAAATAACAGATATAAGACCATTTGATGAGAGGGAATGAAATTTCAGCATCCAAGAGACTTGATTATCAAAGTATTCATCAATATTCTTTTAAAAATAATCTCTGTTATGAAACTAAGTAATAATTGATTCTGTTGGGGTTATTTTTCAAATCCTCAAATGTGTTGCTCTCTTTGTGACAAGCCTCACATTTCTCCCACGCTAACATTTCATACATAAACCCTGAAGCTTTCCGCAGAGGAAGCAATTATCTCTTCAGTTTCTTTATCATCAATAAATGTTAATAAAAGCATTCCAATTACTTGACTAAAGAGTCTCATTTTTCCAGTGATGATGCATTAATTAAGATTGAGTTCTTAACATTTTTGGCTACCAGAATAGCTTTGAGGGGGAGTCCAGGAACCTTCTGATATTGTATGCTAAATTTTGTCTATAACTGAACTTCTCTTGGGAAGCTTTCCATAGCTTTCATTCAATTCTAAAAAAAAAAAAAAATCTACATCCCCCAAATGTTTAAAATTACAGCTTTAGAGGGTGAATATGTGGTGTGAATTTTTAAAGTTGAAAATCTACCTTTCCTAGTATAAATTCTTCATTTGTAGCCATGTAATAAGAAAACTCTTTTGAAGATTCAAATGCTTTTGGATCATTAAAGGCCATTCACAACTTTTTTTTTTATTATAGTGATCATATACATACAAGTATATTTTTAATGAATCAAGAGAGACGCATTCTGATTCATTTAAGTAAATTTTTAACAGAGAAAGCATATGATATTGCTGGAAGAGCCCTGAAGATAATTAGAAAACTGGCTGATAGTTTCAGCACTGGCTGGCATATGCGACCTTGAGCAAAGTTGTCTCAGCTCTTGGGGTTTTTATTCTCTCAAGTGAAAAATGTGTGAATAAAAAGAGCTACTCAATAAATTAATTGAATGATAAATACCAATGTGGAGATTTTAGCTCAGGACCTTGGAAAGTGTGGGGCCTAGACCTTTCCAATGAGTGAAGGACAATCTGTTATTTCTGTCATTAGTTACTTACTGCACTGATAGTTGTCCAAATGCTATTGATTACCCCATCGTTTTCCAATTTGTATGGCCAGCTGTGCCTATATATTTTCCTCAACTTTTCCTCAGTATGTTGAAATGATATGATTTATTATTATTTTTCTTAATCTTAAAGGGCAGTTGCTTAAGAAATTTGATGGCTTATTCCTTTAAAAACTTCCAAAGTAGTTGTGACTTTAGGATTGAGACAGAGACACAACACTACCTTTGGAACACCTCAAGCTCAAACCACCTGTGAAGTGCTAATGCACAATTGTTATTGCTGTTGTGTATTTAGCAGCTGCTCAACTAGCTCCTGCCATTTTACTTTCTTAATCACTTTTAAAGTATCAAGCAAAAAATATAAAGCATTTATTATTTTGCATGTTTAAAACTAAGTTCCTATAGTGATCTCATATAATATTTAAATGAGAGAGTGAACATGGTGGAGTAGAAAATATAGGGTCTGTGAAGACAGACTCAGGTTCTAGATCTGCCTCTATCCCTTGCTGGCTTTGTAGCCCTGGCCTGTTAGTTGATCTTTCTGAGCTCCTAGTTTTTTTCCCTTTGGAAACAGAGTAGGCACACAATAAATGTTACTCATTTGTTTATCAACTTTAGAATGCTGACCATTAGGATGTCTGGGAAATAGATCACTAAACAAATATAATCTTCATAAGGAAAGGTGGAAAGCAAGTGAAGCTCTCCTTCGAATTTTATTCTGTTATAATTAACAGCTACCACCAGATCTGGCAACACATAGGAAGCTCTCAATAGACATTGGTTGAGTTAATTAATTATTATATGGTGAGTAGCTTATAAGCCACACTGACTCCAGGCTTTTTAATTCCACTACCCAAGTCATTTGATATAATGGATATGTTATGACCTGCCCCTCCTTTGTGACTACTTTCTGTCCAAAATTACTCCATTGATGGAGGGGCCAATGAGTGCTCCACTCACCATTATTGCTCTGTCACTATCACCTGTTATTCCAAGACTTCCTTTCTGTTCCCAATCAAGTCCTGCTGATTCCACTGCTACCAACTCCATGTAGTGGTGTCTGGTATTTTATACCCAGCCAACACTTTCTAATCATTGCAGCTCAGATAGTTGCAAAATTGGAATTTATGGACATTGTAATGAGCCTTTCTTAACTCTAAGTAAAATGGGGCATACCTTATTAGCTATTGGTTTTTCTGCTGAACTGGCTGTTCATGTACCCACCCGTTTTATAAACATTCAATTGTTTATATATTTTTTTATTAATTTGTTACATTTATTTATTTAAATCTGTTTCTTGTGGAATAGATCCAGATGTGATTAAGAAGAACCATGCACGAATCCAATGAGTGATGGGCTAGTTACCACTCTCCCACTTACAAAACAAGGGATTGGCTTCTTGCCATGTCAAGCTTTAGGCAGACATCTTTGTTGTCTAACTGCCACCAGGCTCAGCTCCCCTGGACACTGTGATCCTACCTTTTAGTCACCACAGCATACATCATTATATACTGAACATTTTGGAGTTCACAAATATATTTGTAAAAGGCCAATACCTAGGAATGGAAAACTGACTGAAAAATCATGTGTAATGATATGTCATCATTTTTGGTGATGACAATAGTATTTGCATTCCAGGCTTAAGTGAATCCATGTACCTTGCAGTCACTAAGGATCTTGGGAACAAAAGTTGCAAATGTCACAGAAAAGATACCATGGATTACATTATGTTGGGATGATTATATAAGGCTTGGATGATTTTTCCAAGTACAATATGAGTGGCCAGTGGTCACTTATTCATGTGTTGTAAACCTGAAAAACGGATCATTTTAATAGGCAAGCTTAAGGTTGTGCGTGTGTTTTTTAAAAATAAAAGTCTACTTTAGTACTTTTTAATTAAAAATAAAAGATTTCTTGATGTTTACTTGGTATTTTGTTCTGTGTATTTATGCAGTATATGAAGTTTATTAAACCAGAAGACAAATAACGGAAGTTGAAAAGCTGAGTTCAAAACCAACATCTGGGCCTAGTTTACCTGACAAAAACACTTTCTAAACAAGATCCACTTTCTACTCTTTAATCCCTTACATGTATATAATACCACACTATGTTCAATGCACTTTTGTGCAATTAATTTAAATTGAACCTTCCTTCATATTTTCCCACCAGTTGATAAACCAAGACTCATAGTTTAAAGGACTAATACATGACAGATATAAGACTAAGAATAGTATAACAATAATAATGACCCACTTTATTGAGCAGGTACTGTAATTCAGTAAAGCCCTTTATTAAGGGCTTTATATCTAATTACTCATTTAATCCTCACAACAGCCCTAGGAGATAGCTATAATATTATTATTACTCTGACTCTATTTTACAGAGGTTTAGCCAGTAAATGCCAGCACAATTTTAACCCAGGCAGTCTGATTCCAAAAGCCCTCACATACTTTTAATCATAATGTTATACATTCTATTTCCTAAAACATATTAAGATTCCCCCGCCCCTTTCTTTTCTTCCCTCACTACCACCTCTCGTCCTCCTTTTGCCACTAATGCTGAGGAAACAAAACATAAGCCCACAGTTGGGGTCAGGATTAGTGAGTCATGCTTTCCTCCATTAGCAGAATTCATAGGAATGGGGAACCAGATGAGCAAATTCTTCCAACAACTTACAAGATCCAGGGCAGCTGCCAGGATGGAGGCATCAGGAATGGTCCCCGGCTCACAGCAGTTTAACAGAAATTGAAAGCGCTTCATGCCTTGTCGGATTGCTCCAAGATTCACCACGTTTTTACTTTTTCCACCATCTTGGTTGGAAGACAGATGGTCGTCAAAACTATGGCAACCTGTGGTGGAGGAATGAAGGAGCAAGAGTGTGAAAAAAACCAAATTAAAAAGAGCTTCAAAATGACAACAATGGGTTTTCTGTAGTATTGGCCTGAAAACATTCTCCCTAACTCCGCCTCCCTCCTCTTTATTTTAATGCTTATTTGGACACACCCTGACTTTTGGGAGTCTGGTGGCACATGGCATATGTAAATGTAAATGTGAGGTTTTATAGGTTTTACATGAGTAAAATTTTGAATACTTTTTGCTACCAGATCTCCTTTTTAATACTTGTGAGAACTCTTGGATGTTTAAAATAATTCTTCCTGTAATCAACAGCTCATTTCTATTTTTATGGAAGATTCAATGACTGTGCAATTTCACACATGTTACATAAACTGACATCAAGGGCAATACTTTGATATGTTAATTGCAAAGAACCACTGATGATTACAGTCAGTCGTACAGGACCTTAGAGGTTGGCAATTTAACTCCAGGATTTCCAAACCCATCTGAGCATCAGAATTATTTAGGAAGTTCCTGAATCTGATCCAGCGCTTCCAGATCTCTGGAAGCAGAGGGTAAGAATGTGCTTTGTACAGACACCCAGATGACAACGATGCAGCCAGCCTGACCACACACTGTGGTGAGAGGTTTGGGGACCACTGATCCTGCCCCTCTTAGTTTTCCGTAGTTAAGTTGCCTACAAATAAGAATCAGTCTGGAGGTTATTAAAATTCAAAATATCAGGTTCCATCGCTAGAGACTTTGGTTCCATAGGGCTGTGTTTATTTTTAACAAACATTCCACTGACTTTGATACAGAAAGTCTAAGGGATCACACATTAAGGAAAAAAATAGTACATAGTATTGTTTTGCATCATTTTTATCCCCAAATTCTTTTTTAAAAACCTAAATATTTCATGACTCTTCTGCTCCTAATATATATATGTATATATAAATTTCTTATATAAGGTTATTATGTTGAATATCATTTTTAAAATCAGGCATACGCTCCTTCTCAGGATTCTGAAATATACTTCTAACACCTAAAACTTACCCCCACTGATTTAGAGTTTGATTTAATTTATGCTCATGACATTCATTTATGCTGTTACCAACTCCTGGTCCTCACTGAGAAGTCACAGATCTGATTTCCAGAAATGGTTTTCTCACCTCTTCTGTCAAGAATATCCTGATTCCTCCTACCTGCGGCCCCGCCCTCCGCCTGCTGCCTCAGCATAAAGGCAAAAGTGTGGCTGGTATCGGAGATTTGTTTTAAAATACATTTAAAAAACATAAAAGATAGATGAAGCAAATACGGAAAAAATTTAATTATTATTGCAAGTGGGTGATGGATATTTAGGATCTGTTGGACCATTCTCTTAACTTTTTGGTCTATGTTTGAAAATTTCCATAAGTACAAAAATGGCTCAGAATAAAATTAAAATATAATTATCAAAATTTCCCATATTTCATTTCTTACTATTTCAGAGAAGAAAGGAGGAGAGAGAGATAGAAACATCAATGATGAGAGAGAATTATCTATTGACTGCCTCCTGCATGCCCCACACTGGGGATTGAGCCGGAAACCTAGGCGTATGCTCTGACCGGGAATCTAACCATGACCTCCTGGTTCATAGGTCAATGCTCAACCACTGAACCATGCAGGCTGGGCTGAATATAATTCTTAGGCCTCATAACACTTACCGAGACGCTTGAAGAAATTCTCCTCTTCATCTCTTCCATTTTCCATTCCACTCCCAGGCCCGCCTTCAGAAAGCTTCACTGCACTGGTAAATTTGACCTGAGAAGAAAAGAAAAGTAGCCAGATGACTAAGTTCAATTCTTTGTGTATATTCTAACCCTTGTGTTGAAAAATAAGATGCTTAGAATATGAAGGTTACTTCTGACTTCCACATCTGGTTAGTCATACTTTGTAACTATAATTTGAAGAAAGATCCTGGTCATATATTGAAAGTAAAATAATCAGACACTATGAAAATAATTTAGTAAAAAAAATTGAGGTATTCCTAGAGTTTAATTTTGATTAAATTCAAACTGAAAACCAGGAACAGAAAGCCATCTTCATTCTTTACAAATAACACCACCACAATTGAGAATCAGACCAAAAAGAAAGCAGAATAGAGATTTCAAATCTCCATAGAAGAACCAGTATAAATTTGTTTATAAAGTACACTGTAATTAAATTGCAATAACATGGGTTCTTCTAAGAATTAAGATGCATTCTCAATCTTGCCTTTAAGCAAACAGTAATCAAAATTTCCAACAAAGCAAGGAGGCTATGGGCCTCATAGACTCTCAAATCCTTGGCCAATGTTTTAGCATAAAGAATGTGAAATGTGCCGAAACCGGTTTGGCTCAGTGGATAGAGCGTCGGCCTGCGGACTGAAAGGTCCCAGGTTCGATTCCGGTCAAGGGCATGTACCTGGGTTGCGCGCACATCTCCGGCGGGGGATGTGCAGGAGGCAGCTGATCGATGTTTCTCTCTCATCGATGTTTCTAACTCTCTATCTCTCTCCCTTTCTCTCTGTAAAAAATCAATAAAATATATTTAAAAGAAATGTTGTAAAAAAAAAAAGAATGTGAAATGTGAATTATAAATATATCTTCTAAATGTCTTATAATGTTGCTATATTCTTTATATAATTTCAAAATATTACTTTTACAAGAGATAGAAGGAAACTGGTTTTAGTAAGATTCAAAGAAGGAAGCATGTAAGCAAATAATTTCTCCATAAAAATATAACTGGTCATAAGCTAAAAGTTTCAGTGGTCGGGCTATGAATCATTCATAGGAAAAACTCTTATAAGAAATGGATTTCCCTGAGAATTATTACCTGCTCCAAATCACATGCTACTACATTGCGTAACAGTATTATGAAGAAGCACTTAATGGGAAAAGTCATCCTGAGTTTCTTTATCTTTTTCAATAGGGAGAATGGTTCAGCTGATGCAAAAAGTAGTGGAAGAAGAATAAATAGTGTGTGTGTGTGTGTGTGTGTGTGTGTGTGTGTGTGTAAGAGGAATCACTATAGAATTACATATTCTTGGAAAGGGGCTTGAGATATCAGGAATTTTACATGTGTGTTAAATGTTAATACAGCTAGGAAGTAACACACACACATACACCTATATCTGCATTATAATTTTATATAAAAATTTTGACACACTTTTCCTTTTTTCCTTTATAATGTCTACTATTAAGACATCCTAGCCCTAGCTGGTTTGGCTCAGTGGATAGAGTGTCACCCTGTGGACTGAAGAGTCTGGGTTTGATTCTAGACAAGGGCACATACCTCGGTTGCAGGCTCCTCCCCGGCCCCACACCCTGATCAGGGCTCATGCAACCAATTTATGTGTTTCTCTTACATTGATATTTCTGTCTTTCTCTCTCTCTCTTCCATTCTCTCTAAAAATCAATGGAAAAAATCCTTGGGTGAGGATTTAAAATATATATACATATATATATTACTTAATTATTAAGTAATATATATATGTATATATATATATTAAAGACATCTTAGTTTTCATTACTCATCTAACTAAGTTTCCTAAATTTGTTCAACTTAAAGAGAGTTTCTTCAATGTTCTTTGGCCTCTCCAGGTGTTTAGCATTTCTCAGCCCTAACAATTTTTCATCAGCGACTCCAACATTCTCCCACAGAAGTAATGTCCTGTTTACCTTGGAGCTCTGCCTGATGAAAGACAGGCGGTCCACAGAGCTGATGTCCAGGAGGTCCTCCACGCCATCCGCCAGGCCTGAGAGGGAGGATCGCTTCAGCCAGTTCCCTATTTAATAATTTTTTAAAAAATCAGACCGTTATAGCATTTTCTCCCAAATGGATTAAAACAGAAATGCCAGCATGTACCCTACAAGCAATGAAAGTTGAATGGCTTGATATAAATAGAACTGAAAGGAAACTGTTTTTAATGTACACGCTTTGAATCTAAATGGTCAGAGCTGGACTATAAATTTACATGAATAAGTAAGACCAGGACTAAAAGAACCCAAGCCTCCTAGGTGAATTAAACCATAATATATCCCCTTCTCCTTGACAACCTTCATACCTTCCAGTAAGTCCCGTTGGTTTTCCCTTTAGTGCTTCTCAAACCTGACCACTTATCTCTGTCTGTATGGTCACCACCCAGTCCAAGCTCCCATTCCTCATACCTGGGCCACGCTCTCTCTTAACCACTCGGGCTCCCTCCAATCTGCTTTCCATGCTGTGATCTTTTAGAAGAAGTTTACCTGCTCAAGTTACTACTACTCAACATCCTACCTGGGCTATGAAGGGTTTAGGGTAGAGAGTCAAACTGGCCTGCATGCTCTGACCCCTGTCACTCTACCATAGTCATGCAGCCCCTCTTCTCCTAGGCTCAGCTCTTCCATTTTCTCCCTCCTAACATTTTTGCATATTTTATGGCTACCACCCAGAGTACCCTCCTTCCTCCTTCCCTTAAGATCTTCCTCCAGTCCTAGCTAGTTTTTCTCAGTGGATAGAGCATTGGCTTGCAGACTGAAGGGTCCCAGGTTCAATTCTGGTCAAGGGCGCATGCCCAGGTTGTGAGCTCCATCCCCAGTGGGGGCTGTGCAGGAGGTAGCCGATCAATGATTCTCTCTCAACATTGATGTTTCTATCTCTCTCTCTCTCCCTCTCCCTTCCTCTCTGAAATCAATAAAAACATATTTAAAAAATAATAATAAAAAGGGTAACATAGTGATCTTTTAAAAGTACCTGCTAAGTAATTGGGTTTCCCGTGCAATTCTGATACACACAGACTCCTGGTGGCTTTTGCTCTGCGGAGAACAGATAATAGCAAAATAATATGCAGATGACATGTGCTGACGGTGGAAGTTAACAATATGACAGGCATTACAGTTATGGCTAGGAGGGGGAGGCCCC